GCAGTTTTAACTACTTTCAGAGAGGAGATTTGGGGGCAGGATGGTAGAGTATGAGGGACAGGAGGACAAACAGACGTTAAGCAAAAGAATCAGAAAATTATTACCTTTGGGCTAAACTGGAAGGAGATAATCAAAAGCACAAATACCTTGAATGTTCACATAAAGTCCTGTCTTTTCACAGTGAAATGTATTAAAATAGAATACTCCTTTGGAGCTCTTCATTTGCATCCATTAAATATGATAATAATACCTTATGTATATAGTGATTTATACTTCTCAAAATTCACATTTTTATCTCTTTGGTCTTCATAAAAAATTCTGTGACACAGGCAAAGAGTGACTATTATTCCCATTTAAATATGACTGCAGATCAGAGACGATCAGCATACTTTCTTAGGAGAAGCTGATACTCGAACCTGTATTTTCCAATTCCTAGTCAGATGCTCTTCCTACTTCACTATATATTATATACTTCCTACTTCTCTCTCTCTCTCTCTCTCTCTCTCTATATATATATATATATATATATATATATATACACACTTCACTATATATTAGAATAACCAGTCTGGACTTTCCATTTTTATCTACTTATAGAGCAAGAACCACAGAAGTTGTTTATTTCCCTTGGGAAAAAATAATTACTTTACATAGTAACAATATCCTGAAAAAAAAAATCACATGCTGTGAATGTTTCTTAATGAACATTTTTCCTTTATCTGTCCCTTTGTGACTTTCTAAGTATGAAACTCTCTGGAGTCTTCCTCTAAGCGCTTCCTCTTTCTGGTAACACTTTTTTTGACTCTCTTCCCTTCTCCCCTGGTAGTCTCCTTTACCTTGGTTTAATGTATAGGTAAGATTTTTTTTTTTTTTAACTCATTTGAGAGAGAGAGCATGGGGGCAAGGAGTGGAGGCACAGAGGAAGAGGGAGAAGCAGACTTCCTGCCAAGCTCTAATGTGGGCTTGATCCCAGGACCCCAAGATCATGATCTGAGCTGAGGGCAGATGTTTAACCAACTAGGCCACCCAGATGCCCCTACCTTGGTTTAACGTAGGAATCAACTCTATCCTCAAGTCTGTAGCTTGTCTTTAAATTCTCTTAATAGTGTCTTTAGCAGAACAAGTTGATAAAACTCAATTTATCAATTTGTGTGTATGCTTTTGGTGTCATGAATAAGAACTTTTGCCCAACCCCAGGGCACCAAGATTTTGTCCTAGAAGTTTCATAATTTTGTAGTTAGATCTGTAATGTGTTTTGAATTCGTTTCTGTACAAACTACGAAGTTTCAGTTGTGGCTCATTGGTTTGTCAATGCATGTCCTGTTGTTCTAATGCCATGTGTTGAAAGGAGTATGTTTTCTCCACTGCAGTGGCTTTGCATCTTTGTCCAAATCAACGGGCCCTATTTGTGTGGGTCTGTTTCTGGGTTCCTGATCTTTTCCATTAATCTCTATCACTCTCTCAATACCCCAGTTGGCTTGATTTCTGTAGCTATATTGTAATTCTAATCATCAGGAGGTATGATTCTTCCAACTTTATTCTTATTTTTCAGAATTCCTTTTGCTAGTCTTCATTCTTATAATTCTTTCTTTCCATATAATTTTAGAAGAAAGTTTCCCTATTTAGAAAGAATCCTACTGGTATTTTGGTAAGAATGACATTAAACCCACAGATCAATTTGGGGGGAATTAATTTTTTTCCTATGTTGAGTCTTCAAACCCATGAACACAAGATGTCTTTTCCTTTATTTAGTTTTTTTTCCTATTACCAGCTTCTTGTCCTTTTTATTTTAGCAACCCTTTCTATGTTTTTAGGTTTATACCTCAGTATTTCTTTTTTTTTTTTAAGCTATTTTGAATGGTATCATTTTCAGTTTTAATTTCCAATTATTCATTGTTTGTACACAGAAATATGACTGATTTTGCACACTAACTTCATAACCTGCAACTTTACTGGTCTCAGTTATTGGTTCTAGATTTTTTATAGATTATTTGGCCTTTTTTTTTTTGCATAGACAATATATTGTCTGCAAATAGTTATATTTCTTCCTTTGCAATTTGTGCATTTTTTTTTTTTTGCTTTATTCCACAAGGACAGATAAACCAATCAATTTTGAATGTTCATTTTTTTTTGTCCAACATAACATATACTTCCTGATCTCATAGGTCTTGAAGTTGTTTCTTACAGATTTCATCATATGAGATTTTACTTTTTCTCCTTCAATAATCGTTTTCTTTTTCTTTCTTTCTTTTTTTTTTTTTTTCAACCAGTGAGTCACCAGAGGAAACTAGTTAAAATTCCAAAATTCTTTATTAACTTTGGACAATTTAAATGCCCCTACTTCCTATAAGTATTGAAGCCATGCTAAAATCCTTTCCAAAAAACACATATGATCCTGACAAGTCAAAAAAGTTCTAAAATCCTATTTTTTTGGCAGTTTTCTAACAAAGAGTTTATCCTCTAGGAAGACTGAGATATTATAGATTTCTTATTTCAATTTCATTAAAGATGAGACAGCTGCTAAGTCACAGAATACAGCGAGATAGGTTAAATTAACTGAGTCACCTTGCAAAGGAAGCAGATTATGGGGAGACCACCAACAGGAGCTGACCGACATCCTACGTGGTTGATGTTAGGGAGTACAGAAAAAGCTGATGAGCCAGTCCCATAGTTAGGCAACTAGGATGGACTTAGATGCTAACCTCCAAACTATCAAAAAGCCAAAAGCACTCATTCTGTGTGACTGGAGTCAAGGTGGTTTACTGAGACAGAAAATGGGTTAGAGCAGTATATAAGCAGGAATATAATCAGTCTTCAGAACTCCAGTGAATTGAGTAACTCCAGTGACAATACTGGATTCCAAGGTGTTGGGCAAAGCTCTTGCTTACAAGTCAAAACGGATCCTCAAATAGTGAAGTAGGACTTAGTGTTGAGTTGGGGGACCAGCCTCTCTCGTGGAAAGAGGAGGCACAAATAGGCTATGAGTCTCACAGATTTTGACACCACAAACCACGAATGAAAAGTTTCAGTCATCTTCGCTTTTTCCTCAGATTGGGCAGAAAAGTCATTTTCTTCCTATTTCAAAATCAATTTTTAAATTGGTGGTGTTTAGAAGCACCTGGGTGACTCAGTCTGTTAGGTGTCTGCCTTTAGCTCAGGTCATGATCTCGGGGTCCTGGGATGGAGCCCTGAATCAGGCTCTCCATTCAGTGGGGAGTCTGCCTCTCCCTCCCACTCTCCCTCTGTGGGTGCACACTCTCTCTCTCTTTCTCAAATAAATAAATAAAATATTTCATATAAATAAATAAATAGGATGACTTTATATTTGAAGTAAGTTTTATTAGTTTCAAACATGTAGACTTATGTAACTAGCTCTCATCAAATGGAGCAAAAATTTTAGGATTAAGTAGCTTCTGTATCATAGTTTCCAGACAAGGGGTTTCTTCCATTATTAGCATTTCTACAAATACCTTCTTTCTTGAGAAAGAAAATTTAATTTATCACCCAGTAAGTTTATTTAATTTAATTTAATCACCCAGTAGGTATTTTGAAACACACAGAGTGCTAATCTGTGGTAAAAGATCTTGTATTTCATCTACCTGATTCCATTATTAGCTGCAGCCAAAGCATCATTTTGTACAGATTCTTGGACAGAAGAACTTTCAGATCATGAAAAAAACAATTCATTTCCTTTCTCTATCACATCATATTGGGTCATGACGCAGTCATAATTGTGTTCTCATTTTACACAGAGGGGTAGACCTGCCAGGATATACAGGAATGCAATAACACAGGCTGCACAGATAACCCATTCTAGTGGTTCCATAATTCTGCTCAGGTCTCCTTGTGCCATGCATCACTCATCTAGTGGTAGGGCATTAAAATACCTGATCACTAGCCACAGATTAGTTCTCTGTATCTTTTTCCAAAATACCTACTGGGTGATTAAACATTTTCCTTCCTCAAGAAAAAAGTATTTATAGAAAAGCCAAAAATATATCAAAATCCCTTTCTGAATTCAAGTCACCCACATCACTGGTTTGGCTCTTACAGCCTCCTAAAGGTCACCTGTGTGGTTATTTGCATTCATTGTGCCATCAACACATATAAATTAAGCCACCTGCAAGAAAAGGAACTTTAAATTTAGGCAATGGGCATAGACTGGGCCCCAAGGATCCATTTCCACTAAATGAGACTATAAAAACTAAACATGACCTAAGCATACTTCTGCCCTCCAAAATAAGGCTCAAGATGACAGTAAAGCCAAGAAAATGTACTACTTAGAAGAAAGCAAAGGACAGGACAAATACCTACTCATCCCATCATTTCTTGGTACCACAAAGCACCGATAAAATACGGGTTTGGAAAAAACCACTGGTGGGATGCCTTCGCTCTTCTACCATTCCTCAAATGGCATCGCTCTCAGAGACGCACACACGCGTGCACACACATTTTCACAGGAAAATATCATCTCTAAGATGTACTGGCAGTAAGCACAGCCCAAAAGACACAAAATAAGAGTGTCCAAAGGGTCATTACTTAGATGTACTACAGCATGCATGGCCCTTCCGTGTAGCTTCTCGGTGTGTAAATGTATACAGTGGAGACTCTCCACTGCTTCACTCTAGTAAATTCTTATGAAATAGTCTGTGGTGATCCCACTGGGTCAGCAGGGACTGCACAGGGTTTGAATTAGCTGAAAACCCAGCTTGAGAGCAGTAGGGAGAAATAAAGCAGCCTACAGAGCTGCTACCGTGTCATTTACTGCCTTTATTCTTTTGAGGAATCGGATGGGCTCTTTGTCATAATTGCTTTCTCTTAGAATTTTTGAACAGCTTTGTGGCTTCCATTATATTAATTAACCACAAAAAGGAAAGTCCCCTGGATATTTTTCTATCATGGAACACTTAGATCAACTTGCTTAGTTCAAGACCAAACTAAAATTCTGTAAACCAAAACTTCCTAAAGGAAGGTTGTGGGGAAAAGATTGTAATACTTACCTGTGTTGAGAAAATATTGTTTTAAACAAAGTTCAAGAGGTTGCTTTACTTGGAGGCTTTGCAGTGCCGGTAACAGGCTAAGGTGCTTTAAGAATGTCCTAGAAGGAGACAAGGAGTCAGTATTTCCCGAAGTGCCTTGACCATACAATCTTTCTCTGTAGAGCAACTCGCTTGACAAGTATTTCCCAGAGCACAAGCGAATAAAACCTTGTTTGGAATGGTTGCAACAGAAACATCCTTAAAGCAGGGAGACCTTGTTGTTCCTTCTCGGAGCCGGCCCCAGGCAATTGGTGGCAGGAGGCACTGAATGTGACTTTGTTCCCTTTTGTTTTCCACACAGTGAAAAGAGCTTGTATATCTGCCGCTCTGTTTGGCTTGCTGTTGCGGAGCATAGTAAATCACCCTGACCCAACCCACACACCCGTCAGGGTACACAGTTTTGGGGATTCAAAAGACCAGCTAGTCCTTGGTTGATTGCAAAAAAGAAATTGCAATGGGCATAGGTCCCAATATAAAGTTTTGCTGTGAATAAGTCTTGAAAATGTGTACTATACTATTTTTGTTGTTGTTGTTTTTTTTTTTTTTTTTTTGCTTATTGTGAGTGGGTTCATGTAAGAGGCTTTACTCTATATGTATATATCGGTGTGAGTAAACTCTTGGTAATAATTTTATCTGAGATACACTGATTATATTCTATACTGAAGAAATTCTTTAATTTCACAGACCAATATAAAAATCTCACTATGTATGGAATGAATGTGAATTGTGAATATCTATATTTATTCATGCGGAAATAAATATACATATATACTTATACATTCCAAATATTCTGAGATTAAAAACAATTCTTCACAGATCTGTACCCCTGGGGCTAATAATAGATTATATGTTAATAAAAAAAATTAAAAAAAAAACAAAAAACAAAACAAAAAAACCCACAATTCTTTCTCTACTTCCTCCCCACAGTTAAAACAGTTAAAATGGTCATTTTGTCTCAGTAATTCAGCCAAGCCTGCAAATTCAAAATATGACTTGTTTCAGGTTTGTTTTTGTTTTAGTAAATTCAGTTGCTTGGCATTTTGTAGGTAATTTTAGAGATCTAAAATTTTACTTTTCAGGGTGCCTGGGTGGCAGCCTGAACATTCGAGTTACCTCTCCCATCATCTACCAAATGAGATACAAACAGTGCTCACAAGCCTTAAACATCTGCTTTTGGCTCAGGTCACGATCCCAGAGTCCTGGGATCAAGTCCCACATTGGCCTCCTTGCTTTGTGGGGAGCCTGCTTCTCCCTCTCCTGCCTGCTGCTGCTTCTGCTTGTGCTCTTGCTTGCTCTCCCTTTCTCTCTCACTCTCTTTCTCTGTCAAATAAATAAAAATCTAAATAAAATAAAATTTTACTTTTCAACCCATTAGTGGTTTTTTTTGTTTTTTTGTTTTTTTTTTTTTAAGTTTTTTTAGAAAGAGAGAGAGTGAGTATGTGAGCAGGGGGAAGGGCAGGGGGAGGGGAGAGAGACTCTGCACGGAGCATGAAGCCCAATGCAGGGCTTGATCTCATGACCCTGAGATCAGGACCTGAGCTGAAATCAAGATTCAGATACTTAACCCACTGAGCCACCCAGGTGCCCATCCACCCAGTCAGTCTTCTATGACACAGACACAGCCTGTGTCAACATTCTTTGCACGTACCTCATGAATACAGATGGTAGTGACTCTCTGTGTTGTAGGCGGAACCAAAGGAAGTGGTGTAAGAGGTCATTCTGTCAGCAGTTGGTACAGTTAAGTAAAAGGTTCGACTAGCTTTGTTCCTACTCAATTAATGAGTTGTTTTGTGTCTTCTAGCTTCAGCCTTAGTCTCTGTGCTTTGAGGAAGTACAAATGAATGTTTAAGAACACCCCAAAAGGACAAATCTGACTAATACAAATTAACTGTGCTCACAAGATGCTGAATTGTAGGAGACATTTCTGGGGGAAGGAGGCCACCATCTCCCTTTTTATATCCCTTCCATTTCCTTCCCCTCACAAAAAGTACCTTTTAATTAGACTTTAGGGGAAAAAAATTGAGGACAGGACTTAATGGGAAGATGGAAGGAGGCACGTTTCAGTCATTCACAAAGGGACAAAGCCTACCAAATGGAAAACAAATGAATGCAAATAACAAACCGGAAGTTGGGCTCGAGTAAATCCCAGAAAATGACTATAGTTGGGTAATTCAAAGATGAGAAGCCTTCAAATATGGATTGACACTTTTGTATCTCATTTGGTAGATGATGGGAGAGGTAACTTGAAGTATCAGGATATAAGTACATACTCTATAGCTGTATTTATCTATAGGTAGATATACACGTTATAGCTGGATATATTAAGCTATACTGCATACATGTATTTGTGCAGGTAACCAAGGGTAAATGAGGTCATAAGGGTGGGTCCTAATTCTGTAGGATTAGTGTCCTTACAAAAAGAGGAAGATACATCAGATCTGTCTGTCTCTCTCACTCTGTGTCTGTCTGTCTCTATCTCCATGTGCACAGAGAGTGGAGGCCATGTAAAGACATAATGGTGAGAAGGTGGCCATCTACATGCCAGGAAACAAGGTCTCACCAGACACTAACACTGGAAATACCCTCATCTTGAACTTCTGGCCTCCAGAACTATAGGAAAAACACATTTCTGTGAAGCAACTCAGTTTATGGTATTCCCCAGTGGCAACCTGAACAGACTAATATGACAACCATGACTATCTTATCCTTTTCCCTCCCTTTCTATATCACTCCCTATGGGATCTGACCCCTCTCAGATAAGCCCTGTGAGTTTTTAATACAGGAGGCAGAAAGATTAGTAACTGAAGTCTCCACTAAGAGCAGCAGAGCTTCCTTAATGCTTTCCACTGAAGAGACTGCCCATGGGCATTAGCGATGCCACCATAAGAGCCAAGCGGCCATCTGAGCAATGGAGACATTTAGCATCCTCAGGGGTCAAGAAGAACATATCTTTTTGAAGCTCTTGAAACAGTACTTTTGCTACAGAAAGTACTTAAACATGAGCACTCAGCTAAAGGACATTACAAGCTAGATGGAACTTTTCTTAGGGTGCGTACATAAACTATACTATGGCCTTTTCTCCAGGTAAGTTTCTTTGAGGGAAATACAACAAGTTTGCGGTAATTCTATAGATAGCCTCGATATATAACTGCTTCTAAAATGCAAGGTGGAAGCAAAAACCAATAGACCTGTTCCAATCCATGACTAACACTATTCCTTATCTCCCTGGACAAAGACTTGGCTGGCTAATGACGACGGGGCAGCCTCTGGTCACATGTCACTCATGAGCCTATCCTGTGAAGTGAAGCTACTTGGGCCCCACATTATTGAATGTAATCTGCCCTCTCTTGGCATTGACTATTTTTGTCCCAACCTTCAATAGTCTCACTAGTATGTCGTGAAGGACATCTGGGGCACAGAATCAACTTTAGCACCCTATTGGTGGAATAGACACATCACAAAACTGAATGCCCTTAAATTTATTGAGCAGAGTTTCAGAATATAAGTAAGGATGGGGGAGGGGAATCAGCTACAACACACTAGCAGCTATAAACACTATAAATACTGCGTATAAACCATGGGACAGACAAAAGTTAATACCCCTGGAAAGTCCAACAAAACTTGACCTTATAGTAATGGCAACCTTCCTTTAAAGAAAAAAAAAAATTCCAGACACCTTTATGTCAGTATTTGCAAAAAGCAAATGCTTGATTTTATTTGAGGCTGGTCTCCTATAAAAGTAGCTTCTAATATCACTGGTTCCCCAAGTACTGTCTCATCACTGCACACATACCTGCGAACACAAACCCACATCCAGCCTCCTCCACAGTTTGCTTCTCAAAGTCCCGGATATTTAAATAGCCATCCTTATCTTGAGACCTTCATAGTAAACACTTGCAAATTTCCACAACTATAACCCATATGCAAATACGCTTTTGACTCAGAGGAGGTCAAAATTCAGTAAAGTCAAAATTCAGCAAAGCAACATAAGACATCAAGTGGGCCCCATCCCCGGGACCAGAGGAAACAGGAAACAGAGGATCCTGTAGACTTTTGTTAAAATACAGATTCCAAGTTCCATGAACCCACATTTAGCAAGCTCTCCAGTTGAATATTATGCACATGGAAGCTCAAAAGCACTATTTAAAATGTGAACAGACATTCCCTCCGACACATCAGGAAACAGGGAAGTGGCTTAATGCTTAGTGAACTACATTCAGTAAATGCTCACTGAACTGAATTCCTGACCTCTCGGGTCCCTTTGCGTCTATCTCTGAAACTGATCATCTTTGAGAATCAGTCAACTTTTTTCTCCACTCTGACACCCTCATGCCAGAACACAACTTCCAGCTTCTCAGAACAGGCTGGCCAGCACACCTGTTATAACTCCATCACTGTAGGAATCACGAGTCTGAAAAATGTAAAGAAAATGCTGCTTTCTTAGCCCCTTTCCTTATCCTCCTGCATTCTTCTTTCCAGTTCTAACTGGCACCAGAACAGTCATACCATCTTCCTTCTGTCTCCTAGCCAGAACCACATAGAGAGAAGGAACGGTCCTAATGGCATCCTGTTATTCAGCTATCCAGTGTTTTCCCCCTTGGATGTTTACCCTTTGGCCCATATCTTTCTGACAAGGAAAGTGCAGCCCACAAAGTCAAAGCCTGGCTCCACCTGGCCTGGTCCCACCTGAGTTTACCCTCAGGTACGAGACCGAGCCCGGCGAGGAGCAGCCGTTTCCCCACCTGACCTGCATCTCTCTCCTCTGCTCAAGGCTTGCTCTGGCCCCCAGGAGCTTGCCACTCCCAGGGTTAACTCTAAGCCAGTGAGGGAGGGGAGTCCACGGGAACACACCCCAACCGCTCCCCTCTCCTGCTGCTCACGTGGGGCCTCAAGGCTTCTCAGTGGCTTCCACTGAGTCTGAACATCAGTTGTCCACAGAGGCAACCTGCCGTTTAATTGACCCTCTCTTGACATGTCTGCCTTCTCTCACTCACACGTGTTTCCTGGGATCACCTTCCAAATAAACCGCCTTTGCCCGAGACCCCGTCTCGGGGTCTGCTTGGGGTGCCCCGAACTAAGACAAGTACCGTGCTCATCAATCAGATAACATCCCTGCTTATCAAAGGGGCCATCAGCTGGTTCCTAAAGGAATTTTGCTTTGTGTAATATTTTTAACAAAATTTACATGATTTTGTAAATCCTACTACATAAATCTAGATTTCTGGCTTCGTTTAAGACATTGCTGTATTTATTCCCACGGGACATCCTCCAGACCTACAAAAACAACAAGTCTAGTTTTCTCTGGTTTAGGATCTCTTCTTCTTTCTCCTTGTTATCAGAGAAAGCATTTAGAGGAGCATTGAGAAGAAGCCACGAAAATCAGGCTGAATCTTAGAATGAGCCACCTTGACAAGCTTTGACAATAAGTTTGTGGGTAGGGAGCGGGGAACTCAGTTAACCTCTCTGTTCTCTGGTACTTTAATTTGGCCAAAAGTGATAATCATCATATTTAGTGACCTCGCGGGTGCCCTGAGCGTTAATGAGACAATGTGAGAAAATTATCAAATAAAAGCTATGGTAACGCTAGTCCTAGTTCTACTTATTTTGGGCTTCTCCTTTATCTTCAAGGAAAGATTTGTTAAATGGAAAGACCTAGTACTACAGAGGATGGAGAAAAATAAAACAAAAACAAACAATTATCAAAAACAACTTTAGCAAAGGAAATAGCAGTTTCACACAGTTACAGAGGGGACCCTGCTATACCCACTTCTGAATACCATCTCTTGATCATTCCCATCATGCTGTTTTGGGAACATGAACATAGCCTAATTTTGGAAATGCATATCCATTCCAATTTCCCCTTTCCTCAGTGACTATGGTTAATGAAATAGACCCAAAATATCCCTAGCTATTTACGTATAGTAGGTGTTAAAAAGTATGCTAGAAGGAAGGAAGGAAAGAATTTTCACTTGTTTTACTTTTATAATATTAAAGCAAGGGTAAAGAGGTCAGGAACAATGGAAGAGAATTAGGAACGCGCCCTTAACTACTATGACGCTCAAAATCATTTCTCTCCACTCATCAGCCAAGTGGTATATTAACTTCACTGTGCCCAACACAGGGAACGTCAGAGACATATAAAATAGGACACCTTCTTTGAAACAGTTTAAAATCTAGTTGGAGAATCACAGCAAACAAATATACATATAGAAACATGAAATCGTTACAAATGTTGAGCTACAAACTACCCATTATGGCTGTACACACAACGACATTCAGAGAAGGGAGAGGTCACTAAAGAATGATACAGTTAGAGAAGCCTCCTGAGGGCGATGGTCCCAGAATTGGGCTTTCTGGTGAACTGGCTTATCCCCATCCATTCCTCACATTAACCCTATGAGGTTAATCTCTTCTCGTAGATGAGGACACACTCAGGCAGATTAAGTCACTTACCAAGATCACACAGCCGAGGTCTATGTAACTACAGAGGTCTCTCCTCCACATGGCACTATCTCTTCTGTAACGCCTGTGTTGGTGGAGGAACCGGATAGAAGCCAAAGCCGGCCTCTTCCGGTCTGGCCCCTGCTCCGGGTGATCTCCTCTTCCGGTCTGGCCCCTGCTCCGGGTGATCTCCTCTTCCGGTCTGGCCCCTGCTACAGGTGTGTCTCCTCGTCCATCATTCCCTCACATGCTTCTGCTTCCGCTGCACCTTGTGGTTTAAGTAGGGTTCCAGCAGGAAACACATGGTGCAGTTAAGAGACTGGACCTCAAAGTATCTTAATGAGGAATTATTTTCAGAAAAGTGGGCAATGATGGGAACTCATGAAGCCAGGGAGGCACCCAGAAACTGGCAAGAGCAGGAAGCCATTACTATAGCCTGACTGAAGAGGCAAGAGGAATGAGAGGAGATAGGAAAGCCTGGAGAATGCCAGAACTAGGAAGGGGGTCAGGTATTTGGAGCAGTAGCTCTCTACAGACAGTACTGAATCGACATGGGGTTAATGACGTTAATGCCCTAACCTCCCTTCCTGCCCGCCCTGGAATCTCCTTCTAGTGTCTTCCATTAGTCAAACTAGCAGAAGACAGAGAGCAAGGGAGTCCAAGTGATACAGTCTGTAGACATCAACCTCCCAGACACAGAGAAGGGAGGACAGAGAATGGAACTTAGGGTCAAGAAGAGATACAAAATCTTCTCGCCTTTGTGAACACTGCTGCTGCCCACAATACCATCCACTGATGGGCTAACCCCTCCTCATCCTCTAAGACTTAGTTCAAGGATCACAGGTCCTGGGAAGCAATGTGTTACCCACCACCGGATTTGGGAGCCTCTCCTCTACACTTTCAGTCTCTGTGCATATCTTTATGATTGCCCCTTTGTGATGTTGAATGGACTCCAAGAGACACAGAGGCATTAGGAGCTAAGGAAAATTGCTACCTTAATGCAACTAAATGTGCCCAAGGGAGCTGATGAAAGTGAGCACCGAGTGACAAGCACATATTTCCCAAATTGTAAATTGTGATTTAATTTTCAGCTTACAGAAAAGTTGCCCGAGTAATAAAAGGAACTTCCATGTTCCCCTTTGGCCCAGATTCACCCATTACCCTTTTGTCCCATTTACATTATTCTTCTCTCTCTCTCTATGCATACACACACACACACACAGAGGTAAATTTTCCTTTTATTATTTGAATTTTGGAATGATTGCCTTCTTTTGCCTGTAAATACTTCAGTGTATATTTCCTAAAAACAGGAACATTCTCTTATATACTTAAAATACAAAAATCAGACTCAGGAAATTTAACATTGATAGAATGCTATTATCTAGTCCATAGTCCATGCTCAAATTTTATCAGTTGGGTCAATAATGTTGTAAACAGCTATGCTTTCTCCCCTTCCCTGGTCCAGAATCCCATGGAGGATCTTGCATCGCAATTAGTTGTCATATATCTATAGTCTACTTTAATCTGAACACTTCTTTTGCCTTTCTGTGTCTTGACCTTGACATTTTTGGAGAGTATGGAACACTAATTTTGTAGAATGTCCTGCAATATGGCTCTAGCTGATATTTCCATATGATTAGCTTTAGCTTCGTCATTTTTGGCAGGGACACTCACAGAAGTGATGTTGTGTCCTTCTCAATGCCTCATTGAGTGATTTCAGGCTGTCCTAAAATTGGTGATGTTAACTCTTATGATTGACTCAGGTATGTCTGCCAGTTGTTTCTATTAAAAGATAGTGTTTTAGGTTTATAAATAATTTGGGAAGATTCCTTGGGACCATGTAAATAACTTGTTCCTTGTCAGATTACAACCATTTTTTTTTTTTAAAGGAAAAGGGGATAATTCACTGAGTATAATGGACAAAAAGGAAGTGATACTGACCTTCAGTCCCTCCTGATGTCCTGCCCCTGGTGCCAAGGCAAGTCATTCCCACTGTCTAGGGTTTTCCCTTTTGAATCTCAACTTGTCTCTGCTGGACCCCTGCTAAGGCTTCTATTAAGAGAAAACCAAAGGGGTTGATCTGAGTCTCAAGAAAAAGAACAAGCCAACCCCAGCAGAAGCTCCATGGAATCAGGACTCAGTCCTTTTATTTTTCTTGTATCTCCTCCTATCGTCAGAAGCAGGGATCCCTTCCTGCCTATAGCAACTTAACTAAGTGTACATCAAAACTGGGCAGGCTTTCTGCGGGCTTATTTACTTCTAAGGTCTGAGCGGTAGAAGCACAGCCTAATTATTATTGACCCAAGTCATTTTTCTTGCTTAGGAAATGATTTAATAGTATTAGGAGCTGAAGTCTGGTAAAATTGGAAACCCAAATAATCTTGTCCCTAGACCTTGAAGACTAATACAAGGTTAATGTCTCCACCTTTTTTTAAAAAGTAACTATTTTTTTGGGGGGGGGTACTTGCTTTCCTCTCCCTATCTACCACAATAAGATAATCACAATGAGTACTTTAAATCCCCTGTAAAATATTGCATTGTACCTCTGAGTTGAGTTGCTTGTCCCACGCTGGAATGAGATCTCCCTGAGGTCAGGACTGGACGCCATTTATTGACATGTTCGTCTCCCTCTGTCTAGTTTTTTGTCCAGCACGTCATGGGTCCTCAGGTTTAGCTGAAAAACTGAATGAATTAAATAGGTGTCCAGTATTATAAGTTATTCTCCAATGCAGTCTGTTTCTTTCATCAAAATATTGTTGTCCAGGGGCACCTGGGTGGCTCAGTTGGTTAAAAGACTTGTTGTCAGCTCAGGTCATGATCCTGGGGTCCTGGGATCAAGCCCCGCATATGACTTCCTCCTTAGCGGGGAGTCTGCTTCTCTCTCTGCCTCCCTACTGCTCATGCTCTCTCCCTCTCTCAAAATAAATAAAAAATCTTTTAAGAAGTAAAATGAAATATTTCTCTCCAGGAGCAAAATGAATTTAGTTAGAATCTATTCCTTTTGGGGAGGGGCCATACGTAATCATCAAATTTTATTGAAAAACATTTCAGTAAATCTAAATAAATGTACAAATGTCACTTTTACAGAAAGAGTCTCTTTATACTGTTTCGTGCTCTTAATTTGGAAAAGTTTCAGACTCACAGCAAGTTACCAAAATGGAACATGGAGTTCCTGTGTGCCCTTCACCCCACTGATAACATCTCACATAAGAGAGTGCATTTGTTGAAAATTGGAAGTTGACTTTGCTATAATACTAATAATACTATAATGACACAGTAATGACACATACTCTTATTTGGGACTCACCAGTTTTTACAAGCACTTGTTTGCTTGTTTGTAAATAGCTCTAAGAAAGGTTATCTCATGTAAAATTCTGTGTGGCCATCATTGCAATCGGAACACAGAAATGTTCCATCACCACAAAGAAACTTCTTCCTGCTATAACTTTATAGTCATGTCTCATCCCCCCATCCCATCCCCCACCACCCCGCAACAAAACTAACTGGGCAACTTTTGATCTGTTCTCTATAATTTTGTCATTTCGAGAGCAGGACATAAATGGGATTATGCAGTATGTTATGTTTCACGATTGGCCTTTTTCCCCACACACGCAATAATAATGCCCTTAAGATCCATCCAGGGTTCTGCCCTGAGTCTCCTTCCCATTTTAACCTCCATAGCTTCTCTGGGTGATTTCATCCAGTCTCAAGGCTTTAAATAGCAACTTTATAGTGAGGATTTCCAAATCTACATTTACAGGTCCTCAGAAATCCAGTTTTAGCTATTCAGATATCTACTGTATGATTTCACGGATGGTTAATACATTTTTCAAAACTAATCTGTTTAAAACAATTCCCTCCAAGCCTCAGAGGATTTGAGAAACTTCAAACTTTTTCATATTGACACCCACTATTTGCCAAATTGCTCAAGACAAATAAATATTGAGGAGCTCTCTGATTTCTCTGTTTCACTTACTTTTCTCATTAAATGTGTCTGTAATTTTGTTGATTTCACCTACAGCCATATCCTGAGTTTGAATGCATCTTCGTTCTCTGAGAGATAGTGTGGAACAAAGATTAGGAGTTTGTAGTCTGGGTCCAAACCCTGCATCTGCTACTTGCTGGATATGAGAACTTAGTTCAGTGCTTAGGGGTTTCTATAACCCCCCATTCTGTCATCTGTAACATAGGGACAAACGGCACACACCTTTGGAGTTGTGAGGTTAATCAAATTAAAGTATGAGCACTTTTTTAAGTTTGTTGGTTGGCTGGTTGGTGGGTTTGAATTTGTTAACTCATGAGTAAACAAGGTGTGCAAATATCTAGAGAGAATATGTGTTCCAGGGAGAGGCGAGAGCAAGTGTAAAGATCCTGAGATGGAAGCATGCTTGGGGGTTTAAGGACCAGCAAGGAACTGAGACATCGGGAATGACTTGAGCGGGGTTGGGGGGGGGCAGTGAGGGGAGAGAAGGTCAGAGAAGCAGTGGAGAACCAGTCCATGTAGGGCCTTGCAGACCCAGAGGAAGATTGATCCTTCAGCAGAAGACTAACATTATTTGACTTTTTTTTTTTTTTTCAAAGCAGATTTTTCTATGGGGTACTTGGGGACCAGAGTTAAAGTTGGTGTAGTAGACAACATTCTAGATGGGCCCCGAGAACCCTGCCCACTTTGGTACATACGCTGTATAATTCCCACTTGTTGAGTGTGGGTAAACTGTGACTGTGATGGGGTGTCCCTCCTGGGATTTTGCTACTGATCAGTTGCCTCTGAGCTGATCACAAGGGAGATAATACTGCTCAGGCGTGAGCGAATCAGGTAGACCCTTAAAAAGAAAAGAAGCAGTAACAGGTAAAGCCTGCTGGCATAGAAGAAAATGAAGAGCCCTGTTGTGAAGGGTCTAGAAGGGCCCCATGGTGAGGAGGGAGAGCGGCACCCAGGAGCTGCGCGTGATCCTGGGCCAACAGCGAACAGGAAGCAAGGGCCTCAGTGATGCAGCCACATGGAATGAAATTCTGCCAACGAGCTGTGAGCCAGAAGGACTGTTGGCACCCTGATTT